TAAAGGATGAGATCCTTAAGGAGGCACATCAGTCAAGGTTTGTGTTAATTTATGAATGACCAAGATGTACCATGATCTGAAACAGTACTATTATTGGGTTGAGATGAAACAGGATGTGGCTAAGTGGGTAGTCGGATATGAGATGTGCCAAATAGTTAAGGCAGAGCATCAGTTTTCGACTGGGTTGTTGCAAATGTTGCCAATGCCAGAATGGAAATGGGACATGATCACCATGAACTTTGTACTGGGTTTACCAATGACTAAAAAGTTGCATGACAGAGTATGGGTCATTGTGGATCGATTGACCAAGTCTGCTCACTTCTTACCTATGAAAAAGATGGATGAAGTATCAAAGTTGGTGGATATATACATTGATCAGATCGTGAGGTTGCATGGAGTACCAGTGAGTATCATCTCAGATCGTGATCTGAAGTTTACTTCAAGGTTCTGGACAGGAAGTGTATGGGACACGGTTGCATATGAGTACAGCATATCATCCTCAGACTGATGGGCAGTCAGAACGGACGATTAGGACATTGAAGGATATGTTGAGAGCATGCGTGCTGGATTGGGGTGGTAGTTGGGGGGACTACTTACCATTGGCTGAATTCGCATACAACAATAGCTACTATAGGAGCATTGAGATGTCTCCGTATGAGGCGTTGTATGGCAGGCCCAGGACACCATTGTGTTGGACACAAGTGGGGGAGTGTAGCGTGATGGGGACAACAGTGGTCGAGGCTACTACTGAAAATATCAGATTCTTAAAGGTTAAGCTGAAAGAGGCAATGGACAAGCCGAAAAGTTATGCGGACAAGCATCACAAGGACTTGGAGTTCAGTGTAGGTAATATGGTTTATCTGAAGGCACTGACTTATAAGGGAATGGACAGGGCAGCTAAGTATGCCAAGTTGAGTCCGAGGTACATGGGACCATACTGGATACTGGAGAGAGTTGGCGCAGTGGCTTACAAGTTGGACTTGCCATCGGAAATGTGAGCGTTCCATAATGTATTCTATGTGTCGCAGCTAAGGAAGCACATAACCGAACGTGAAACGGTTATAGAAGAAGCACCTGCGGACTTGCAAGAGGACCTTGCAGTGGTTGCTAGGCCATTCCGGGTGTTAGACAGGACGGAAACGACTAAGCGTGAGAAGCTAGTCAAAATGGTTCAGGTCGTATGGGACTGCGACGGACAGGAACAAGTGTCATGGGAAAAGGAGGCTAGGATGAAAGCCGAGTATACCAAATGGTTTGACAAGTTGCAAACGGATGAGTCGGATTTGAGGACGAATCCAAAAAGGGTGGGGGAGAGTTGTAGCATCCGTATCCGAGAGAATTGGGAATGATCAAGCTGGACAGAGCATTGTCCGAGGAATGATCAAGCCAGGGACGAATATTGGTTGAGAACTGGGAGGTTCAGACTACGGTCGGGTTATGACTGGGAAATAGTCAGATAGATGGCTGGGATAGCCGAGCTGGATGGACCATATCCGAGAGAAAATGGTCCAGTCCATGAGAAAATGGTATTAATCCGAGTGAGAGTGGGGTTAGTCCGAATGACAGTGGACTGTGTCTGGGAGAAAAAGAAATCTCTGAGAGGAAAATGGAACTTAGCCGAGGAAGTGTGAATATCCGGGTGAAAAATGGAAAATGGCCGGACATAAGGTAAATAACTCAGATAAGGGCGGTTTATCCGAGAGAAAAGGGATTGGGCCATGGGCCAAGCATGTTAGGTCGACTTATACGTGGTTGTCACGCGGATGGTAGAGTTTAGTACGGGTGTAGCCAAAAAAATTAAATCGGATCGGGATAAATCATACTGGAACCGTGAACCTCGGTTTAAACCGAGTTACTTAGGGTTTTGCGTGTATATAAGGGATTTTTGAGACTTAGCTCGAGGGTGTTGCGTTTATTTGAGATAAATAAAACAAAGAGAGAGTTTAGTCGAGAGAAAACCCTAGAAAAGAGAGTTTATCCCGAGGATAGCCGAGAGAGATTGAAGGATCGCCGTACGGATCTGACCATCGCCGAAATAAACTGGTAAGCGATCGGATATCTCCCTTTATGTCAAGTTTCCATCGGATAACCTCGAGCTAATAGTCGTGTTTTGTGGGGTTTCTGAGGGTAAACAGAGTTTGGCTCGAAGAAAGGTGAACCGATCGAGAGATAGCCGAAGGGAAAGGGATCGGATCGTACCGTTAGCCGAGAGATTCCTAGGGTGATCGGATATCTTCGATGGTGCGAGTTTCATCGGGATTTTTTCTGACCAATCTGTTTCTAGCCTTGTCTAAGGTGAGTGCGTGACTGTGGTTGGTGTCTAGGATCGTTGTTTGCTAGGGTTGAATGTTTTGCATGTTTGATTGTGTGATTTTTATGCTGTGTGTTTAGAACTGATAAGCCATTATATGTTATGGTATTGTGGAGTGTTTACTGTGGCATAGATGATGTCTAGCTAACCTCAGGGTAATCCGGATCATGTACTAGCTTAGGGGATGTGGGATTCCCGCTGAAGTAGACACGAGTCTTAAAAAGAGTTAGGTTAGATGATCATGGCCGTTTAATATATGTTATGTCTATTGCTAATTGATTGTGTGGGATGTTGAATCCGATAGTATGAATGCGTGATTGGTACTGACCAAGGTGTTACGGGATAACCGTACTCACTAAGTATTTATCAAATACTTATGCCTCTCTTTTTGAGTGTGCAGGTACTAAGCAGTAAAGAGAGCGAGACCGGCGACAGTAATGAACATGGATGGATCGGGGATTGGGTGTTTATTTATGTTTGAGACTTGTGTTTTGTCTTATGGGCTTTGGTAACGTTTTAGGGTTCTAGATGATATGATGTATTTATTAGCGAACCGTTGTGCTTTATTCAAGTTAACCCCGGATCTTGTTTAAGTGTTTTATTCAAGTTTAATGGAATGAAATGAAGTTGTTTTGAATTCGCTGTGTATTTGTTAAATGAAAAAAAAAGTTTAAAAATTTGGCTAAGTTTATAATGAACTGTAGAGGATGTAGTGATGGCACGGCTGCGGTATAATTTGCCGGGTCGGGCTTCCACAGATTCTCTCTCCAAAAATTTAGATCTGCAAATTTCACATTAAAAACTTGAACTTGTAAATATTTCGCCAAAAACTTACTTAAAATATAATTAAATTTTTTCGCCAAAATCGGCCAAAAATTACTTTTAAATGTGAATTCAAAAACTACCAATCAATAATTTGATTTCATGAATTTACCGCCAAATAAGCGAAGCTGTAAATCTTTTGCCAAAAAGAGTTACTTAAATTTTGATTTCAATTTTTTTTTCGTGAAAATCCAATACCAGAATATTTCTGCAAAAAAGTGAATTTGTAATTTTTCCACCAAAATATTTGCGTTAAAAAATGATTTTAATATTTTATAAAAATTTTGATTCTGTAAATTTTCCACCAAAAATTATATCTATAAATAAAAAATCTGCCACAAATTTATAATAAAAATTATGATTTTAAAAACTTCGAGTCATAAATTTCTGGTCAAAAATGTGATTTCAAAATTATCTTTATCAAAAATCCAATTTCCCGAATTTTTCACCAAAAATTAAAATCTATACATTTTTCGTCAAAATGCAATTTCAAAAACATTCCGTCAAATTTGTTCTCACAAATTTCTCACCAAATATTTGACTCATTATTCTTGACTTCATCTCCTTGCTCTCTGCTAATTATATTTTTGGTGTCCTGCCTCATTAATTCTGATTTTTGTTTCATTGCTAATATGGAGAGTTTTAAGAGATGGAAGATGAGACGATCCCATGACTAACAAGAATCCTACACCCATTGAGCTTCAAGGTGACAAGAGAACAATTGTTGTACAGACAACATGGGAGCATGTTTTGATCCGCGAATAAGGAAGACAGGGAGCAAAGCAGATCTCCAGGTCATATACCTTCTTGGTAACTAGGCGTCTAGGCGTAAAACCAAGCCGTAGAGATCAGTTCGTATGAAAATATACCATTTACTTATCTGGATGCGGAAGCTAGTCTTAGAACCCCAATATAATTATACAAACTTCTGGAACCTATCCACTCACTGTCTGAATTCTTGCTATCATCAAGGTCAAGTCTCTCCAAAGATGAATCCATCGTTTCGACAAAAGCTTACGGGGATACCTAAGGCAAACAAAAATAGAGAAAAAAAAGTAAGTCGGGTCAGAAACAAGGAATATCAAAAGAGGAACCATAATGATTTGTTTATTGAAAAAAATGTTTGACTAGCAAATCCTTTTTTTTTTCTTTAGACTCAAAATTAAAAAAAAAACGAAAAAATGTTTACAACAAATTGTAACAAATATTGGAACCAATTGTTCTTACTGCAAGTAGATATGAAGCAAATAAGGAATTCTACATCGGAAATGACATTTATAGTGAATTAAAAAGCATTAAATGCATCAACACACAAAGTCCAGATAATTCATGATCGTATGGAGAAAAATGAGATTTATGCTAGGTCCGTCAATGAATCTTATACTATCAATTAGCCAATAAGAATGGTAAGATGCCTTTGATCGTAATGACTTTGTAATCCACCAACATAATGAAAGAGGACAAGCAGTTGTTCTCACAAAGTATGTTACTCTTTTAGTTAGATCAGCGCATTACTCTGAAAACTTCATCATTCCACTTAACTTGGTCCACTCAGCTCGAGTAAATCTTGATAGATCCATTTGGCTTGGTCCATTCAGCTCGAGTAAATGTTTTTCTCATATATATAAATCATACATAAGTAAATAAATAGTAAAAAAAAAGAAAAGAAGAAAAGCAATGATTTTAATGAAGCGATTCAGCATGCAACATATTTCTTGAACAAAAATATTCAGACCGTTAAAAACCTATTTTGATTTTCCATTACAGTGACCCAAAAAGAAAGAAAAAGAAAAAAAAACAAAAACAAAAATATCATCCGTCCGGGAAAAGGGAAAGAAGAACAAGAAAAAAGACAGCTTCGATGGAATCATTTGTAACTCCAGAGACTGTCTCCTTCGTGATTCTCCGGCGGATCATCCATCGTCTGATTTGTCATCCTCGGTGGACTCATCAGCATCCCCTCCGCCATCTCTGACAACAAATTCGGCATATTCAACATCGCTTCCTCGTCCATAAACTCAAACATCGCTTTTTCCTCCTCCTCCTTACCGGGTTGACTCGGATCCACTACACGCTCAGCTCCACCCGGATCCGGTTGCTTCATCTCCGCGGCTCTCGCGGCGGCAGCTCTTATATCCGCGGCAGAGTTTGAAGCCGGAGCTACATAAGTCAAAGCCAAACCGGGAAAATTCAAAACGGCGTCGGAGCCTTTAAGAGCTAGCGCCGCCACGTCGTAAGCGGCGGCAGCCATCTCCGGCACTGGATAAGTCCCGAGCCAAATTCTTGTCGTTTTACGCGGCTCTCGAATCTCCGATACCCATTTTCCATTCCGCAGTCGAATTCCCCTGTAAAATGAGTGCCGGCCGGATAATCCAGTCGCCATTCTTCTCGCCGGTGATCCACTGGAGGCGAGAGAAGGTCTCGGCGTCGGAGAAGGGGAAGAAGATGAGCCTGGAGATGATTGAGGAGACTGATGATCAGAATATCTTGAAGGCAATGCGATAGAATCTACACGAAACGTCGTCGTTTGTTGATTCCGTGTGGTCGGAAAATCACTGTTCGACATAAGAAACTTAGTTTGTGTAATAAAGTGTGGTTGTGTTCTGTTTTTGAATCAGTGTGCGTTTGTATATTTATATATATGTGTTCTTGGAAAAGAGAGAGAAAACCCGTGGGGAATTCGTAAGATCATCCGTTATTTTGATGTTGAATGATTAGCTGTTTTACACATAATTGCGAGTTTAGATTATGATCGTATTAAGAGAAATTGCAATTTTTCTCCTCGTTTTGACATATTTAATCTTTTATTTATACAGTAGTATTATTTGAAACATTTTTAATACTCATTCCTTAAAATGTCAACCAAGATTTGCCAATCAAAAGTAGTAGATTTGTGAACCCCATGTAGAGACAGCCACTTAAAATGACCAAATCGCCAATTATAAAAACTTCTTGATTCGATATTTACCACTTAAGCAGTAATTTATTGAAATAATAAAAAATACATTTAAAATCGACTATACCAAATTGATTAGAGCTTCTTAGAGTGTCCTGACTTATGGTTAATCTATTCAGCCAAACTAAAAAAGATTACAAAAATATAAAATATATTTTAAGGTTACAGAGAATTGATGGGACAGAAACAATTGCAGTATGTATATTTGTACTCCTAATGGCTGTGGTAGTACAAAACTCAAATTGATATACAATAGGAAAAAGTACGAAATATGTAAGGTGAATAAACAAAAAGCAATGATATATGAAACTAAAATTGTATTCAAATTCAGTATTATAGAATTTGGAAGAAATTGAACAAATCAGAACTTTTTTGTAGTTGGAACATAGTGGATGATAATACTGATCTTCCGTATCCAACTCCAGTTAATGAGTTGTACCAAAAGGTATTTATTTCTACTTTTTGCCAACAATATTAAAATAACTTTAAAGCGAGGCTACGAATAAAACACGTAATGAAATAATTAAGGTGTACTAAAAAGGCAAAAAAGTAATAAAAGTCAAGAAATTGTATTAATGGGGTAATGGTGAGCACTTAAGGAAGCCAGCCAAGCTTGGCCAGACGACGATTCTATAAGAATGAATGTCCCACACGATGAGATTCACGGTAGGACTCTCTCATAGGCTTGTTTTCATATTTTATTGTTTCATAATTACAGCCCACATAATCACTAAATATCTCATTTTTGTTCCATATCGACATATATTTTGATTCTCTTTTTAGTTATTTGTGACCCATTTCTTTTTTAATGAATATGCGTATATACAATGTCATCACTAATCACGTATCTAGTTTATCAATCGTGGCAAGAATTCTGTAATTTGTTTTTCATATATTCCATGTTCTTCTAGTTTAAAGATCATACGTTTAGTCAAATGAGTTTAAAGATCATATGTTTAGCCAAATGAGTAGATATTTCATTTGTAGTCTCTGTTTCTCCGTTGGGATTTTTCTAATGGAAGTAGTTTTCAATACTATACAAGTTAAAGAAAAAAAATTATTAATCGTGGACGTCTAATGTTTTCAATACTATACAAGTTTTCAATATATATTTCTAGAATTTGTCAAAAGACTAACTACTTGAATTAATTACACTTGTAGTAAAATTAAATCGATTAGCCGCCGTCTAATGTTTAGATAGTTAACATAAACAAATTAAACATCCAATTTTCAATATATATTTCTAGAATTTGTCAAAAGACTAACTACTTGAACTAATTATACTTATAATAAAATTAAACCGATTAGTCGCCGTCCAATGTTTAGATAGTCAACATATACAAATTAAACATCCAATTTTTGGATTGGTCAACTCATATATATATATAAAAACCATGTTTAGGTTTAGCACACATATCATTTGAGAAATTATTCTACTCTTTGACAAGTTTTTTCCTACCACATTAATTCAATTAAAAAGGATTGCCGGAAAGACTAGATATAAACAAATAATTAGTCAACCGATCTACTCATTTAACTCCAGATTATTTCTCATTAAAACCCCTCCGAACGCAAATTAAATAAACACATAGTTTTTGTGAAGTTTAAAAATGCTAGATAGATATGCATAATGCATTCATAGTTGGTACACACAAGTGAGATCTCACCAAAAGATTCACCCCACTAAAGCTCAAGAGGAAAGTGATAGGAAAAATCTGATCCCTATCTAATGGGCTAGTAAAAAGTTATTTTAAGGATTCGAATATGTTTTTGTAGTTTATTGGAGTGCAATGTGACCACCTTGCATATAAGCGTTTAACACTCACCGGGTCGAAACAGATAAATCAAAAGCAATTAATGTGTATTTACGGATCATCTTCTTCCTACGCAAGAAAGCCCTAGCATTTTACACTTTCTTTAAGCAATTTCCTTGTATTCGTCAACAAATCATTAATATCACATTGGTTTTGTTAGCTTATTTTAGTCTGCCATTCAACTTTCTGAGCTATCAAGAAAAACTTAGCCCCAAATTATAATTTTTTAACCTAGTTCATTCAAAAACCCGGATCTAGCATGCACAACGTAATTACAATAATTAGACTAAATGCTTAATCTAATATAATGCAAATGTAGAGATCATACAACGAGTTAGATAAAGCGCAGGCCCCTACCACACAATAGTACCAATTATTAGGGTAACAACGTTAAATAAAAAGTCACATTTCACCCCATACGACAACTTCCACTCCTTTAGCTCCTTATGTTTCCTCTTTCTCACTACTTTGCTCTTCGATCTGACAACTTGCTTTACATGTGTTTGTTGTCCATCACGTGGTAACTGCCTATGCTACGAAAAACTGTCTTAACGACCCACAATAACACTTTCGTTATCATTTTTTCTAGTAACATTTTACGATTTAATTTGTTGGATTTCTTTATATTCCCTCTTTTTTTTTATTAGAAGATGTTTTAAAAATTTGCACAAAAATTAAAAATTCATTTACTTTTCTATTTTTTAAAATAAAACATATTTTTTTTATCAATTTTAAAATAGTTCAACTAATAGAAAATAACATTCAGAATTCAAACAGCCAAAACAACAAAAATACAATTAATTTTTACATAAAAATTTGAAAACGTCAACTATTTTTGAACAAAAAAAAATTTCTAAAATATTTTATAAAAAAAACAGAGAGAATATTTATTTAAATGAACTAAACTTTGGAAAAGAAATATACCTTTAATCGTTTATATAGAGCATGACTGAACAAAAACTATACAACATAAAAAATCAAAGAAAATTATATTTTTAAGATATTAAACATTTTTAGTGATATATCTGGCTATGTAACATCATGGTCGAGATTCAAAAGATATATTTTGCAATTGTAGTACAGAATACAGACGGAAAGTTTGCCTAATGAATTACTTGGTGATTTTAGTCAAAAGAAATAAATGGTTTATGCGATTCACAATGTGATAATTGCTAAAAATATACTCCTAAAATCATTTGATAGTACAAACATATATAGATGTAAACTACACTATCAAAAACATGTTTGAAGCTTGCGTTGTAAAAGTCACAAAGATATTTACTGACTAAAATCTAGTAGAGATACTCACAATGGTATTGCATAATACCAAACTTCACCGAGCTTAGAACTTGCTGTCTAGATTGCATGGAAATAAAACAGATATGCAAAAACAGAACGTTTGAAACATAGAAACACTAGTTTTTAAAAATATAGGAATAGAAACGTTTTGAAAACATATATATGTAATATAAATATATACATATAGAATAAATATCTGTATAACATTTATATCAACTAAAATACAGTATATAATTATTAAATAATTTATTCAACATAAAAAATTATAGCATTTAAAGTCAAAAATTTAGAAAATTTTCTTCCATATCAAAGAATCTAAATCTAATCCAATTCTAATTAATTAAAAGATTTTCAAACTTAATAATATACCAATATTAATTTTATCTAATGAATCAAAATAACTATTAACTTATTATAATGAATTAAATTAATAATCTTATTTTGATAATTATTAATTTAATTACTACAAAAATAAAAAAAAGTTTTTATCGTGTTTTTAAAATGGAAATAAGTGTTTCTATCGTGCTTTCAAACTGTAATTTTTAGAAAATATGGTTTTTTGTGTTTTCATTAAGTTTGTGAGAGTTTTGGTTTACACAAAACACACTTCAGACGAAATATACAACCTATCTTACTACAACTAGACTTCAAATAAGCAAAAGGAATTTTTGTGACAGTCGGGAGATGAATGTGTGTGAATGTGATAATACGGTAAGGATCTGAATTATCATTTAATTCTTGATAGTAAAAATTAAAAAAGATGTTTGAGCTTTTAAGCATCAGCATATTCAGTAGAACGTCTCAACTAATAAACTAATTAATACTTCGTTGACAAAATAAAATAAAATCAAGCTTCACTATCTTCATACGTTGATTCTTTTTTTTTTTAAATGTTAATTCTTTATTATTGTTTTTTTTTTTACCTAAGGTTTTCTTTATTCTTTATTTTTATTTATTGTCCTTTTTAATTTGTTTAACTAGTGAGAAAAGAGTTTAGAAAGACAAACAAAACTAATAACAAATCTCACATAAGATTCAAGATCTAAGGTTTTGATACATGGAGTCTTCAATCAAGATAAATTGATAAAGTACTATCTGAATCAAACCAAAATAATCAATCATAGAGTTAAACAATATTTTCTAACTAAAAAAGTCTTGTATTTAACCAAAAACTAAACAAAAATCCAGACTGAATCTTTTTTTAAAGAAATTCCAAAATAGAAATTAAAAAACTAAAATTTTCTTTTTGTAATCTGTAATTATATTAAAAAAAATACAAGGTTTGATTTAAAGATGATATTTATATTATTAACGAATATGAAAAGATATCGTAAACATAAGTCTAAACAAGAAAAACGAAATTTCAAACGAAGAAAACATAAATCTCTGAAAAAAGAGAAACTCAAAAATAAAACAAGACTCTAATCTAACTAAAAGAGAAACAACTACTCTTCTAAGCATAAAAGGTTTTCCTAATAGTTCTTCGTGTTATCTCCT